TGAATGCATTTCCATGGTGCATTAAAACAACCGTATTGTGGAACTCTCACAATTAGCTATGCCTTTCCCCTTAATTAATGTTATTCAGTCCTACTTCAGGATAATGACGTTTAATTAGCTCCACTAAGAATATGATTCCCAATGCATAAATTGCACAGTATTACTAAACGTGTTTGTTATTACAGGTCCACACAACTTAGTTTAAGTATAACAAGTGGTGTTGGAAGTATGAGATGATTATATAAAAAGTAACATTTCAAAATGAATTATTCATGTTGAATTAAGGTAGATTTTATGTTTCACACGTCATTTGTTAGTTAATGTGTCCTCATGTACGTATTCTGTCCATAGTTCTTTAATTATACGGAATTATTTTATCATTTATTCTGAGGCATTGTGTTTCAATTTGATTCATTTCGATTTGTTTTTCCAATGCTTGCTTTGCAGTGAATTCATTTTACGGGCTATGCAGTTCTTTCACTGTAAAGCCTAACAGCTCTTGCTGGTCTGTGAAATAACATTTGTAATAGGTTATTTGGGTGAAAGTGCTCTTGAATATGAATATAACAGCACTGCCATTTTTACTTCATGGCCTTATGCATAAATGCTGCGCAACAGATGTTTGCTGTATTCAGCCTATAAAGTGCAACTGACAACAGTACAAATACACATTAAAGGTAGTCATTTATCTTCTGGGTAGAAATGCAGTGATAGTTTGAATGACTTTATACTCAGTATGAGAAGCCTCATGTTTTTATAACTTCAGAACCAAAAATATTTGTATTTTGTCCATTGATATCATGGTTGATGCAAATAAAACAACACAACTTGGACAGTAGGGCTGGTGGTGTCAACATATTATTTATGTCCAATTTATTGTTTGTATAGGTCATTATATAAATACACATACATCATACATGAAAACATATGATAAAGCCTATTTGTGTAATCCTTCACAACAAGTATTTTCTCAATGTATTATTCTATAGTGCAAAATAAACATTACAGTTACAGTACATGTATAAAGGGCTTTAGAATGTTTAAAGTAAAACAAGTTAAGAGTCATGTGCATTTATTCTTTCTATATTTATAGTGGAACCAATATAAAAGAAAAAATACAGCACTGACACTTGCATATCGTTTTATGTTTATCATCATACTGTTAGCAATTATTCAATCTTTTATGAAACAAAGGAGTGAAATGATTGAATTAAGGTTCTGAAATAAATCTTTAGCTTTTAAAATTCCAGTAGTATGGTTTTTATCTATGATCAAATGTATGAACGTCACTTAAACTGTAGACCAAATGTCCATACCTTTACACTGGAACTGATATTGCAAGTATCAGATCTGTTTAACCTGCTTCCTACAGGCTGTATGGTCAATATTTATAGCTAGATAATTGAGATATTGGAACACTAACTGGAGCTGATTGCTGATCTTCATCCTCATTTGAAATACAATATGATGCTATCAAGAGAAGGAGCGATAATCCAACCAAAGACAGATTTGCAGAGATGACGCCTTCATGGAAATTGCGAAAGACTGACTTGAAATATTGTCAGAGAAAGAAAGTCTTGAATCAAGAATCAGATTAAAGTTATGGCGAGCTTCATGAATAATGCAGCCAGCGTTTATTTCCCAGGAAGTCAGCTGTAAGACATCGTCTCATGGCCAAGGCTCCCTGCTCTCAGTGCTCTCCACATTTCATCCACAGTAGTAATGATGGATGGCATTTTAAAGTAAACTAATTAAACCAGAAAAAGAAAATGAATTGTGACGATATTTCATCGCATCAACATTATAATGGCACAAGTTTCAGACTATTTCTTGCCATCAAAGAATTAAAAGCATAAATCAAAGGTTATGGAGGCAAGAAAAGGAGACTGGGTTGGAAAGTTATTGTTTTAACAGCATGACAAAATCATTAGAATCTAATTTATGACCCCGGGCAAAGACTTTCTATGATCTAGTGTTGGCATGTCTGTGTAATATCCCTGTCATCGCTTTTGCCTCATTCATTCAATGGGCACTGGCAGGAAATGCTCTATTTCAATGGCACACTCACTCTGAGTGCAACGGGCTGCTCGGATCTGGAGACCCAAGGCCCGCTCCCCCCTGGCAAAGCTGGCAGACTGTCATGCTCAAATCACACTGCAGCACGCCACAAATGTAACTCGTCTATTTTGTGACTGTGAAGGAGAAAGCAGATATATGTGCATCAAATGATTCTGACTGATTGGCAGAACAATGGGTTCATTTAATTCCATTTCTGTAAAATAACTTGATGCAGCTTAGTGCAGTTCTGATGTTCCATTGAAGCTTCATAAGTGTACAAAATTGTTATATAGATGTTATTTAAAGATCTACGCTTATTGACAGTGAGACATTTGACAACCATTTAACAGTTGACAATCTAATTTACTTTTGTGTCTTAATTTGTTTCAAAGCAAATAAGCCAATTTATGTTACTTCTCTCCTTGTGAAATGAGTTGTCACTTCAAATGAGGAAATCTTCATTTGTATCCAAGTGTGTAACACTTCAGCCGGGGTGTGAAACACTGTGTGAAACCTGCTGTTTTCAGAGCGCTTCATAGCATCTGACCGCCTACATGATTGACAGATTGTTAAACGCTGTTAACAATCTGTCCTGTAGTTCACATCTCACTGGGACCCTTTTCCCATTTTTTCAAGATTTAAAAATATGTTTACAATACCAGACATATAAACTTCATCCATAAAACATGTGATCCTCAGTCTCAGTCCTGACCCTCCAGTATCACCTCTTTCAATCTTGGTCTCATTTCCCTTGAAGTTCATATTTTGTAGTGGCGTCACATCTTCCCGTAATCCTCCTTTGGAGTGGCTGCAGGCCCTCATCTCTCAGCCCTGAAGGTCAACATGTGAGAGGCATCAGTAAAATAAAATGACCTGCGTGAAACACGTTGCAGTGACCTCCATCTAAGCTGAGGGTAACCTTCTTTGTAATATTAAAAGACATGCGGAGAGAAGCCTTGGGCATCGTAGGCTGATAATTGATTTAGAAACATAAATAAAACCTACTGCAGACCTTTGCCTCAACATCTTTGTTACAAAAGCATTCCACTTTAGTTTTTACAAGATGTTGCTTTCTAGTATTGAGACCCTCAGACACTATTTGATACGGTTTATTATTTAAAATTCTGCAAATCATTCATGCATCGTTAAAGATAAAGATCTGTGACTGAGCTAGTACAATAAAAATGACTTATACCTTATTTTACTTTGATGCGTATTGATTTACCATAGCTGAGTGGAAAGATACATTGTGCCTGTTTTTAGATAGACAAGATATTTGAAATCAATATATTTTGTGCTAATAACTCTGCTGTAAAACACTGTGTTGATGGCTGTTTTATTCATCTTCTCTACACAGAATATTTTTTTATTTCTACAGTTATTTATATTTTTCTTACTTAACTTGTTCTGGAAACATGTCAAAGCTGTCATAAACCATAAACCCTGACCTTGAATTAACTTCCAAGTCTCTAACACTGTGACATTCCTCAGTGTGACTGAGACTCTGGAAATGTATCCAGCTTATCAGTTATTTCTGGCACAAGCAGCCTCCCCCTAACTCCCTCTCAATAAATACGGGGTTGACTAAGTTGATATGCCTCGGAGGCATTTTAAATATTCCCCCAAAAATATCTATTCATAAAGCGGGGCAACATAATTGGATGATTTATGACCTTTTCACACCACTGGAGCGATTAACTGAAGACATCATTCAGAGCTGTCAATCAAACTGATTGTTCACATGGAAACGAAATACCATCTAACCAATAAGAAGCTGACTTTGAGAATGATGCCTTCAGAAGCCTTTTACTAAAGTGGCCTCTTCAAGACAGGCTCAGTTGCGTTGTTATGTTTTAAAATAGCACATCTGTATCTGAAAGCTGCACTGGCAGAAAGAGGAACAGAATCACAGGCACAGGTTAATCTGTGCACATCTCATGAGGGACATGGTGTCAGTCTCATCCCAGTGCCCTCTTCTCACTCAATGGTGGTCACAGACCTTGATTATGTTCATAGCTTCATAGTACATCTGGGACACATCTTCACATGAAGCTATCATTACCTTCAATTTAATGATCAGGCGCAGTGATTTGTCTTTATTGGTCTTCATAGACACACACACACACACACACACACACACACACACACACACACACACACACACACACACACACACACACACACACACACACACACACACACACCTGCATCTGCAGATCATCCCTTTGGTAATAACAGCAGGCAGAACGACTTGACACTAATTGGCTCATCATGTCAAGTGTATTCTTCTTGTGATGCTTAAAAAAGTACAAACCCTGGATGAGAAGGATGAAATTGTAAAGGATTTCATACTGATGATTGTATGACAAACACGATGTACTCTTTACCTTTCAAACAATAACTATACTTCAGGAATCCAAGCGTTCTTGATGTTATTTATCAAATTCTTCTTCTCCCATATGACAGACAGTGTTTGTATATTATTAAGTTAAATCTTTATAAAATGGCTCCAATTGGCCTATCACGACCCCCTCCCCCCCTCCCCTTCGGTCCTCAGGGTGGCTGGCCCTGAGTCCAATTACCAGAGATAATGGAGGGTGAAGCTAAATGGCACTGATGGGGTCCAGCAGAAGGTTATTAGGTGTCCTCATTAGTGCCCGAGTGAAGTGAAAGGAGGTTTAAGGTCTTATTCTGATCCTGATGGATGGTGTTCCTCACAGTCTGTCTTTAGAGGGTGTGATTCCCCAGAGTAAACGACTAGGCAGGGGCATGGAGGGTGAGATGCGTATAAACGGGAGTGTGTGTGTGCATGGTTATGGTAATGGTGCATCCAATTTGGTACATGATTAGACATGATTATACCCAAGTCAGAGGTATATGTTTATTTGCTGTGTTAGTTACAGTTGGAATCTGTATTGCAGTATACATGTGCCATATGCATTGGCACCAATGCATAATGCATATGACCACCATGTGCCATATGCAGTGGCAGATTTAACAGTTATTGTTGATTACAGGGCTACGACAACCATCACAGTAAAATATTCTACTTTCATTTCTCTGTTAAAGGTTCAAAAAGACAAAAAAGAGTAACACAATGATCAAAGCAATGTATTTCTGTTTTATTGTATTACTCATAGTTGCTCAGACACGTGTATATACAAATACAGATAATTTTTTGTCAAATTTTTCGTTGTTGTCTATATACTGTAAAAGAGCAGATTGGAAATATTCCCCACTGATGGCAAAGTGGAAGCGAGGTTTAAAGGTGAGGGAGCAGGAGAAGGTGGTGTGGTGGGGTTCATACAAGCACAAGAATGGGACAGGACAGGCGCACAAAATGAACAAGAGCTCATTGGCAAAAAGGGAGCTGATGAAAAGAGAGGCTTTGCCCTGCAGGCACAGAACCTGGATCGATGATAGGCATTACCCCGCTAACAATCCAGTTAAGGATTTGGTGCAGGGGGTGAACTAATCCTTGAACTGTGCCCAGGACTAACGTCTACTGTAGGGAGGAGTGATTCAGGGTTGTTAGAAAGGGAGAGAAAGTGAAGGGCCCTGTTGTAGTCTCTTGGATGCCAGCAGCCGTCCTGTGTAAAAGCACAATGGCAGAAAGCGTCTGTACACAGACGAGACTGCCAGGGCAGAGGCTGGAGGGCTAAGGCATGGGAAACACTCTTCGTTGCCAAAGAGGGTTGCCGCTTCCCATTCACTGCGGCAACAGCAAATGAGACACGCACACACACAAACTGAAATGTCTCACACATTTTTTTCACACTGAAAAACGTCCACACATTGATGTATACACTCCCAGAACGCCTCCTCTTGGGAGAGTAGAAATAAGATGAATAGTCAGGAGAGACAGACTGCAACTACATGGGATGAATTCAATAGATGGGTATGGAGAGAGTCAGCCTTAGGATAAATGAAAAAGTTGCTTTTGAACTACAAAATGACTGTTCCCTACTGTAACTTCACAACAATGGTTTGTGTTATGTACATTTGTCATCTGTCACTACACAGTTTAAATGACATCACTCAAATGGGGATGCAAAAACACACAACATGAAAGTGATCCAAAAATCTAACACGTCTTAAAGAAAAAGGAAAACAAGAGCAAAATAATACTTTCTTTAAAAAACTTTTTTGATATTTTTTTTTTTTTATGTCATCAAGTTCATGCGCATGCCACATAATGAAACTGGTGAGATCCTTCCAATAAAAAGCAGACAGTCCACTCTTGGCAGATCTTTAAGCTGACTAACATGCTTTCAAACACTGAAGGCAAAAAAGTACAAATAAACCGTCCGTTAAGTCCAAAGTGTGTCTTTCCAAGGCAGGATCCTTATGAAGAGATGTGAAGGTTGGTGACTGGTTTGAAACATGTAACAGGTGAGCCAGCCTTTTGTACATGGTGTACAGCTCCCACAGGTTTCCACTTCATATTAGCTCAAAGTTTCATTAGGCATTGAGGGTCAAAGCACACAATGCATTGTTTGAGTACAGTATACACTCCGCAAAACCCAGAGATAATACCGTATTCATTTTTTAGAAAAGACATAAGAACCAAATTAATACTTTAATATCAAACACTATTTACATCAAGTTTTCCTAATAATAATAGTCATAATCATCATCATAACAATAATAATAATTATACAGTTTAACAATGATCTAATTTTTTTGTCCTCCAGAAAGGTACAAAACAGATACTAACCTAACACTACTTGTTTTATGGTTGACTACCTCAGGATACACAGTATCCAGTTTATAAGTTGATCCTCATTTCCCAGGTTAAGGTGTGTACAGAATAAACCATGGTAATAATAGCAATAATGACAAATAGTAGTATCGGTAACTATAAGAGAGTACAATTGAAGCTGGTTTCTGATAAAAGTCTAGTGTTAATCTGCTGACAAGCGTCCATTTTGTATCTTATGCGGTGCTCATTCCCTGTGGTGTTCTCCTGAAAATTAGTACCTCATTAAATGGCCTCCTCTCCTATTACCCCCCATAGCTGAGCTGCTATTCTGCTGTAATAGCATTGTTACCATAGCGTAAAAACAAAAGGTAAAAGGCAAAGGCAGTCTTTCAGGAAAATATTTATGAAAAAAGGCTGCTACAAAAATGGAAAATAAAGCAAAAACATAACAGTGCATGCCTTCTGAGACAGCGTGATACTAAACAATAAGTTTGTCATTGAGTCAGGTGTTTTTTCAGTAGTGTTGCATGGAATTTAAGTTGTTTTGTCTTGTCGTGTTTGTTTAGGCACTGTAGTCACACCGCCTTCGGCTCTCTCCCATGTCTTTCTGACTCCCTGTGCGTTTGTCTCTCTGTTTCCTTAACTAACCAATTCTCTCAACTGCAAGGTCATTGGTGCTTTCAAACCCCCCACGATGGAAATCTACACCCCCCTCCTGAGACCCCCCAAGCCTTCCACCATCTATTTTTAATACCAGGAATAACTCCCCTTGCCACAACATGGGGTCCACATGCCTGTCATTTTGAACCTCATTAAAGAGTCACTTAAACCTGTAACATTAGGAGCTGAAGGTGGACATGCAATTGCTCCTTTTCTTGCCCTATTTCTCTCTATCTATCTTTCATAACCAACTGGTGCCCTATTCTCAAACTAAAACTTGTCTCCAAAAGAAAGGAATTAGTTTCTCTATCCTCCCACATTTCTTGAAAACAAAGAAACACGGTCCATTCCTTTAAAAGAAAAGACGATAGCTTTCATTATGCTTGCATACCATGTGTATCTGTGGGAGCTGAAGGATGCTGAATGTCATTACTACACAGACTTTTTTTTTTATGTAAGTGCTAACATAAACCTGACCGGTCTAAAAAAAGAGCTGGCATTGCTTTGAATTAAATGGAACGTTTTTCTATTAACGCTACGTGTTTTCAACTAATGAGCTATGCATCAGGCCTGTAAAAGCTGGTCTAAATACTGCAATAAACTAAATGTGAACTAACTAACATTTAATAAGAACGAGTCAAAGCTGTGGTTTAAGTGACAGTGAAAAAGCTATGGTACTGTGAATTTAAATGTATTTTTAAAAATGTTTCCCATGACATGTTTTTCTAATTGAGGGGGCTGTCAGACAGTACAAAAATACATTAAAAAGTTTACAGTGTCTCACTGAATATAATGTTTGAAGACACCATTGGCAAAAATAATTTAATAGTTTGAAAGTCTCCAATTTAGCTGTGAATCATTTTCTAAACAATCACTTAAACAATCAATATCCGATAAAAAAAAGGTGTAAATGCAAATGTTTATGGGAGTGTTAGTATTGATTAATACTCAAATGGAACGGAGAGAACAATTGCAGTCCTGCTCAGTAAACATTGCATACAATGACTGTGACTGTGGCCGTGAAATTGTGTGATCAACTTTCAAAAGATATTGATCCTCGAGCATGATAGCAGTCTACAAAGTGTCTGGTGAGAAAGTTTCAATTTAGCTGTTTTGTGAGTTGTGTTGAACCAGAGGTGTTTTATTGAGCGGACTGGCATACTCTACACAAAGAGGGATGAGGAAAGAATGCCTCTTGTTTCAAAAGGTTTTACACTCTTGCTCTAAGCAGCTTATCCACCTTTACACACACACTTTGTATTCCTAAGAGAATTGGGCTCAACTTCAATCCGGGACAGTCTGAAGATTGGCAGGCTAAGGTGCATGCCATGTATGTCAGTGCTCAGTGCTGTGGTTTCAGATCTGACATTGGCTTAAAATCATTGCTCCTCTTTTCCAATATCTTCATCTTTCAGCTTTGTACTTTACTTCATTGTAAAATGGAGGAGCCAAAATCGGCTTCATATGAATCCAAATAACTATTTTCTGAAAGGCTTTTCAGAGGTCTCGGGACAATTTATTTTGTGTATGTACAGTTCTTTCTAAAACCTAGATGCTCTACATCCCTACTGTGTACTGCTGCTACTGTTTACTGTAAACTCTACTTCTATTGATTGTTAGTGTAGTTGTGTAGTTTGTTTTTGACTCTCGAAACATGTTTCTGTGTATGTGCTGTTTATGTGTGTGTGGCTAAACATCAGTGCTGCAATGACATAAACATGATGTAAAGGGATGTCAAACGTCACTGGAAAATAAGAATCACTAAGTGTCAAAAAAGGGATTTGGCATCTCAGTTGAAGGTTTGAGAGGGGAACTGTCTCTCCCACTTCCAAAATCAACTTTTCTTCACTCACAGACGGAGAAAGACCACTTAAATATATTTCTGAAAAAAAATAGAGGGTTCTTTGAGAAGCCTGCTCTGATGCCCAATCAAGCAAACACACTCCACCCAAATCCCGCCCCTTCCCTGCAGCCTCGGGCAGATTCAGGCCACGCTAGGTGTAAATGCCCTCCGGGGACAGAGGGGAGCGCTATAAAGTGAAGAGTGCTGATAGGCAGACCAGCAACCAAGCCAGGGCTGGACTTGTTTTCTGCAGGTGCGTTGCAGCATTCGTTTCGTCACTTTTGGAAGGCTCAGCCGGTTCATGGCTGGTATCATCTAAAGAACAGGAAAAAGGACCAAGGCGGTTGTTATTCATTGAACAATGTTGCTTCAATGCATCACAGACAAAATAAAACAATATACAATTAATGAACTTCCATGTGTTTTAAGTGTGCCATACAAAGCTGTGAGCTATATTTGAAAATGAATACCAATTGTGGAGACTTCGTGCAATATGTGGGAGATGTTTGGGCTCATGTTTATTAAACCTTATGAAGTTGTTGCAATGAAGTCTGAGTTGCCATATGAACTTGGGTTGCTATTTCATGCTTGAAATAATTTTGTATTAAATTCTCAGGTGAGGTGCCTCTTGTGTCTGCTCGGCAGCAGTGTGTGAGCAGCCATGTGCCCTCTGCACCATGGGGAGCAGCTGAACCATGCACAGCAAAGGATAGATAGGAACCGGGCAGTTACATCATTATATAAATGTGTGTGTTTGTTGTTTGTTCAGTGTGGAGGGACATGGCAACAGTATTTGATGCTTGAATGCTTTAATTCCCATTCTTTAGAGAGCGTTTTAGAGGAATGAGCCAAAAGAAGCATGCAAGGTGTGAGGCAGCCCTGAAAGAAGCAGGTAGATAGAACATCAGGCAGGACGAGAGGAAGATGGGCGTCATCAATGTCCTAGGATCTGGCCTTGTGGATGTGTGTGTCCCATTTATACACTTTGACCGTCATAGTAAACCTCCAATTTCAGATTGGAATACTTTAAAATAATGATTTAATATTCATAAACAGTCTTTTTTTAAATGTCATATGATGGACAGGCTGTTATATATTCCCAGCGGGGCTTTTTCTGATCTTTGGGTGAGCTCCTGCTGGGAATGAGACGTCAGCATGTGGGTGATGGGTTTCAGTTCAGTGACTGGGCTAGACTCATGTATGAAGAAGACATTAAACCCCTCAATTTTCTGAGCACTGAAAATAATCAATGCTGTGCTACAGAGCAAACAGCATCTCAGTGAGGAGCGAAACAGAACAGAAAAAATGGCAATGCTTTGGATGTTTCATAAATATATGTGTATGAACATATCATTAAATTATTATTTGTTTACACCGGTCAGATTGTTTAAAGCACCTGGATTACTTATGTATTGGGTCAGAAGAAAAACACGAGTTATGTTATGGAGTACAACATGCAGTTGGAAATGACATTTAGGGTTAGTGAAAAGGTTTGAAAACGGTATAAAAATGTGAGACATGCACTTCACATTTAAAACCTCACATTTAAAGTGACACATTCATGAAAGCAATATGTTTGAAATTCATTATAAACACTAGTCAGTGTATTCAAAAATATATATCACCATGCAACATAGTCCATCAATACAATATACAAGCAATAGTAACAAGGCACAACATCTGGAGAAGCATCAGGCAGGAAGTGGAAGGACACCTCAGCTTCCAGGAAACGGCAGGACAGAACACAGAGCAGGAGACACATGTACAGATGTATGGAGGTCATACTGAAGAGAATCAAAAAAGCAGGAAGCCATACTAACCTCGTGGTTCTAATGTATTGTCTACTTTGTCGTTTACGTCAAAAACGCGGTCATGTACGCCTATAGTTTTCACACAGCTGTCTATAACAGAAAATAGGGAGAATGAGAGATCATTAGAGGTTTATGCCAAATAGGTTAGTGACATTTGAAGCCCCCCCCCACTCAGCACTGAAATTAAACATCCCAAGCAACAAAGCTCATGGCAACATTCAGATGAGGTATGAAGTGACCTGGATTTCATTTAATATGATTATATATCAACCTTTTCATGTTAAAGAAAACTTGGTGGGGAAGTTTTTGTGATAAATGAAAGGGATATGTTGGACAGTGAGCACAAGGTGATTGAGGAGGAAGTGAGGTAACCAGAGAAGTAGACGTAAACTGTTTTGATTTTCAATCCAAATGTGTACTTCAACCAGCTCGATTACAAAGCCTTGTGTTGGATGCAAAAACGTACTTGATGGTCGGACGAAAACTTTGAGCTTCAGGCATGTTTTCCTCCCGTTCTCAGCAATGGTGGAGGCTGAAAAACAAAACAAAAGACAAATATAAAGAGGATGTTAATAAAAGACTAAATGTAGCATCACATGTGTACTTTACATATTTCTGACTGTGTGTTCCCCTTTAGAAAAAGCTCTGCATGAATAGACGTTTAATAAGGACTACTTTTTTCCCTGTAGACTGAGGTAATCTATTCAGAAAAAAACAAATTGATGCTTAATGTTGACTCTTAAGAGGATTTTGTAGGGTTAGTCATGGTTCTTGTACAATTATAGCCAGAAAGTATTTACAGATGTGTTAGGAAAATGTCTCTTGGGAAACCTGAGTGCTCCGCCCACAGTTTAATTGAAGCGTTTTAGATTTAACAACTGGCAGCATCTTAAAAAGGATCGAGTACATTTGCATCCACAATGTTCGAAACTGAAAGATATCATGTTGTGCTAACACGTCGCATGTTTACTATATGTATTTTCTATCAATAACAACCTCAAAGCTCTTCTAGCGACACACAAGTCACACACTGAGGGAGAATATATGTCCTGCATGCGCGGATGGTTTGTGGTTGCTGTCAGGAAATGGATCCCTTCCTGTCAAGCCCATCGGGTGTGAATCTCTGAGTGTTAGCTACCATAGTGGTTGTATCACATCTTCTAAAAATATCTCATGCGGAGAGCGTGTTCAAGAGAGTTGTGTGTGTGTTCATGTGTGTATGTTTGTGTGTGTATTTGACCACTAATGGTGTTGTGTTGAGGCACCAGGTGCTGTCTCCTGTAGACAGAATAGGGGTCAAACACATGTCAGCTAGAGCATGGGGGCTGTGCAATGTGTGCATCCGTCATGACAGCAGGAAGAACAGTATTTAAAAATGGTATGCTATTGTCTCATGTCAGGACCTAATGCACCATATGTCCCATTATTGGGATATATTAACGCTATGTATTGGTAACTAGTTTTCATTTCCATTATCCCCTCATCTACAGAGAAATGGTGAAGTGTCCACTTATATGTCTTTCGGGCATCATTTTATGTCTTCTGTGGATCATTCCACAGCTGATGCAATGAAGCCAAACATTTCCAAAGGCTACCATTTGGGATCTGTCAACTCCTCTCTAGTGAACCTTTACCTTACCCCTCCTTTCCTTCCCCTCTCCCCCAGCTGTGTCACCCTCTCTTCTCGTCTGTCAGCGTGGCCATATCCATTCATCAAAGCTCAACTGACTCGGCTTCATCATATTTTACAGCACACAGCTAACAATGCGTGCACATACGCCCATGCATACAAGATGCAGATTTTAATGTCTACCTGTGGTGTTCAACGTCTTCTTAAATAACAGTATTTATGTACAATACTCTGATCTCTTTCTCTCGGTCTGCAGAATGTTTTACATTCAAACATGTTTGTAGACATTGCTGCAGTCAATGTTCCAGCATATATTTTATGTTAAGGCCGTCTCTGGAGCCGTATGTTCATTAAGATAATTATTGACTAATAACTTTGGAAAAGGGTAAGAAAAGATGGAAATCAAATCCTTTCTTTCATGCTCTGTACACCCGATTTAACCTGAGATCAAGATGCCACTTTTTAATTAAAAGCATTTTGCGTACTCTTTCAATAACTTCCTCTGTGCAGAACCTTCTTTACAGCTCATCAAGCTCTCTCTCTATCCCTCACAACCTCGCCGTTACATGCTAATAATGTTGTCGCTTCATCAGCTATTTCTTAGTTATGTGTCAGTGTGTAAGCTAGGTGACTCAAGATCAGATGCCCTTTTTCACAGCTCAGTTCATATTCAGCAGATGCAGAGAGGGAAGAAAGAGAAGGCAGTAGAGAAAGGGGGCCTTATTATTTCGGTGTGGAGGCAGCCGATGACACACTAATGAACCTTGACCACAGCCGCTCACCCACTCAGTCATGTATACACACCAGTACCCACACAATTTATGTCACTCTTCTTATTGCTCCACTTCTCCTTCCACCACAACTTAATTCACCCATATTTAATGTGCGCACACAATGGGCAAGCACACATATACACATACATCTCCAGATGTCTTATCTTCATCATTGTGGCAGGCAGAGCTGAGTCGCAGAGCTGAGTCGCAGCCATCGACACCAGCCACTTAGCAAAGGCAGCTGATCATTACAGAAGTATGGCCCCGATGAAAATGGCAAGAAGCATATGGGAGTCTGCCATGATGACAGTGGGTGAAGCTGTTGTGATGTTTAGAGATGTGGCTATATCACGCTATCCACCTCCTACACACACAGAACAATGGATAAAATGTGCGAGTGAAAAAATATCAAGATTGTGTTATAAAACTACCTTTCACCAATTGTAAATTCATATTTACACTGGAATTCATTCCTTGATCATTTGCAGGAAAAGTATAAGGCTTAAACTCCTTTGTGACAAATCAACTAAATCAATTCAACTGAACTTGGATGTTGCCATTGTGTTGGCATGCTGCAGATAACTGATGTGCGTTGCTGTACATTTTAGACTACAAAAGAAAGATTAAGGTTTGGCTCTATATTCCTTTCTTGCTAACAGCTCTTCATACTGGTGTGTTTGATGAGGATCCCTGCACCCGGGACCAAACTGTCCGCGACAGCGCCTGTTTATTTTGGATTAACATGCTGCTGAGGGCCAGCTTATTGTTCTTGCAGGCTGTAACATCAACACCTACTATTCTGGTTCCCATCAGGCAAGCAGCCTCAACCATCAATCCATCCAGCCTGAGCAAGTGGCTGCTTTGAAGGACAGAGGCCCTGAAAAGATGTCCCAGAGACCGGAGGGGGAGGAAGGCGGTGGGGAGGGGGGAGGCGAGGTCGGGTTACTCCTCCAAGCCCTGTCCCCTGGCTAGTAATGGCTGGTCCCCTCAGTACATTGCATTATGCATCAGCATTAAGGCAAATGGAATGAAGCAGAATCCAATTACGGCAGAACAAACAGGTGGGCTCAGTGCGGCTTAGGCACAGTATTGTTTCAATCACAGCCCAAGCCAAGTTTTATTGCAACTGTAATGTTATCTGGAAAACACATTTCCGTTGCCTTTCAATGAAAGATTCAACAGCACATTCCAGACATGAGGACATAAAACATGTGTCTGTAGGGATGGGAATCTAAAGCTAAGTTTATGCTGGCTAAATGCAGTAGATGATATCATGGCAGGATATTGAATTCTGAACCATCATTTAGGAGGTGCAATGGCTCTGCTGTAAAAGAACACTGCGAAACTACGCAGTTCCTTCTTTTGACAACTATGTTTAAGAATCAATCCATTGAGACTACTGATGCCAAATCTCAACAAATCTGATAACATACTGTGACAACCAACGGTTAACTTTTGATATAAAAGTATTTTTCAGCGAAGAACCCCAGCTCTCTAAAGTCATGTATCCCATGATGTGAAAATGCCAAATTATAGCATCATGTTAGCATGCTTCTAGTCGGCAACAGGCCTCCAGCTGGTTTTAATAATGGTGCTCTAATCCTTTGATCCCTGCTTAATTTTTAGGATGGGGCGGGTTAAACAGAATGCCCTGCAAAGTTGTGTCCAGCGATGAGCATTCCTAGCGAGCTAATTCTGCCAGCGCTCTGAAAAAAAAGCCGCTGGCCTTGTCTTTGATTCACTGATATTACTCATGTGGATTTTAGGTCCAGGAGTCTGAGTTTACTTAAACCGGTGTCCAAGAGAGCGGACACACATTAACAAAACATAAAAACACATGCAAAGCTCCTTTTCAGAACATTTGTGCCATCTACCCTCGTCTCCAACCATTTAATTAGACAGTTTGCAGCCAGAACACATCCCTTCCATTCTGTGTACAGAAATCACTGCCGGGATTCATTAAAGTCTCCTTCGCTCTCAGGTTGTGGAATCAGTCAACAAAGACAATGTTAAATAAAAAACACCCAGAGAAAACCTTGAATATAAGAGAATAGTGGGAGTTTTAGACAGAGAAATAGAGAGAAAATATTTGTATGACCCCTTCAATAGGTAATATTAACTGCAACACCGTCCAAAGTAATTTTTTTAATGCCTACACACACATACAGTGCAGTTCATGTGAATTTAAATTATTTTCAGATGTACTCGAAATTACTGAATGTCCTTCACAAAAAGTCCTTTCCACATTCAAACAGTTAGCACACATTCTTACCAAGACATCTTGGAACGAGGGAAAGAATACAAACTGTATGTGTGGTTGTATGCCCACACAAAATGTGCGCGTGTAAGAAGATGGAGGGGACTATCCACTGAAGAGGCTCATTAACCAGATGCTACCACAGCGAACACACAATAGGAGGGAAGGAGGAAGCTGGGAGGAGCAGTGAAAGAGGAGGACTTAGATTCATGCAGCCGAGGGAACATAAACTGTCCCCCCTGGTGATATCTGGCCTTTTGCTCTTTCCTTCAACCTCCGCCAAAAAGGAACCAAAGTCATTTCTCATGCCGCTTGCTCCGAGGTGAAGAGGTTACAAGCAATGAGGAAAAGAGTGAGAGAAACATGGGGAAAGAGCAATGAGTCGAGATGGAAAAGTGAGTTGAAATCGATAAGGGCTAATTAAACAATGCACTACTTTCCTCGCAGAGTGTGGGGACAAAATCATTTGCATCTGCTATTATTTAATTCTACATCAAGTGTCATTATTTTGTTAAAGATCAAATAATAATCGAACAAATCACTTGAAAATGCAAAGCAACTAGATTCAGTTAACCTTTGAATCAGCTCATTCATGTCTTCACACCCAACAATAATGTGTTTTTTTAATCTAAAGGGGGTTTGGCTTTTTAAAGCAGCCACACAATAATGAATAGCTGTATATAATTACATTACTGCACTCAGTGTGTCCCATCGAATCATAATATTATTATTATAGCATATTATACATCCACTGATTAAAGGAGAAAAAAACCTGTGTGCGTATCAGCACAAGTGTGTGTATTCGGGGAAGAATGAATAAATGGGGAATAACCAATTCAACATGATGACCAATGGACTGGGTTGATATTTCA